TCCACCACTACTGCTGCGTGTTCCTGGCCCTGCGGGGCTCCGGCAGCGCCTGTGGGCGCATGGACACCCTGCTGGGCATCCTGCTGTTTCTCGTCTTCTGCCCGCTCATGGTGCTGCCCTGCCTGCTGCTCATCCTGCACGTGGAGTGCCGGGCCGGGCGGCGCCAGCGCTCTGCCAAGCTCAACCACGTCATCCTGGCCATGGTGTCCGTGTTTCTCGTGTCCTCCATCTACCTGGGGATCGACTGGTTCCACCACTACTGCTGCGTGTTCCTGGCCCTGCGGGGCTCCGGCAGCGCCTGTGGGCGCATGGACACCCTGCTGGGCATCCTGCTGTTTCTCGTCTTCTGCCCGCTCATGGTGCTGCCCTGCCTGCTGCTCATCCTGCACGTGGAGTGCCGGGCCGGGCGGCGCCAGCGCTCTGCCAAGCTCAACCACGTCATCCTGGCCATGGTGTCCGTGTTTCTCGTGTCCTCCATCTACCTGGGGATCGACTGGTTCCTCTTCTGGGTCTTCCAGATCCCGGCCCCCTTCCCTGAGTACGTCACCGACCTCTGCATCTGCATCCACAGCAGCGCCAAGCCTGTCGTCTACTTCCTGGCGGGGAGGGACAAGTCCCAGCGGCTGTGGGAGCCTCTCCGGGTGGTCTTCCAGCGGGCCCTGCGGGATGGTGCTGAGCTGGGGGAAGCCGGGGGCGGCACGCCCAACACGGTCACCATGGAGATGCAGTGCCCCACCGGGAACGCGTCCTGAGAGGCCGGTGCCGGCTGGGCGGCAGGGGCCACTGCCACACTGCCCAAGTGCAAGGAGAAAGGTCTGCTCTGGCTCCTCGTGCCTCCTTCTCCGTGGGCTGGAGGCTCTGGGGTGGCTGGCTGGGAGACCGAGCAGCCACCTACATGCAGGCCCCCTGGCCAGGACAGGCTTCCCCCGCCATTCTCCTCCATGGCCAGAAGCTGGTCGGGAAAGGAGGGGACAGAGGGGTCACCCAGCCCCATCCCCCTCCTACCCCTTTCAATCAGGCCTCCTTGAAAACAATGTAGCCATCACCACTGTCCCCCTTCGGGGCTGTAGCTTTGCCCCCGTCAGGGCACCTGTTCTCTCCGTTCCGCCCCCTCAAGGCAGTATTGGCCAGCCAGCCTGAACGTGAAGGTGCTATCTGGAAGAGAGTCCTGGCTAACCTGCCTTGTAGTTCCATCCTTCTGCACCCAACATCCCTGCCCTGAATCCTTTGGTGACTTTAATGGGGGAGTTTCCGATCATGGCAAGCAGCTAGATGGGAAGCGGCCTCGGGCAGCTGGAGCAGGTCAATCTCATTTCCGGCTCCCTGCAGGCCAGCCCCTGGGCAGCCTCCCAGAGCACAGCATGTCCATGCTGCTGTGCACCTGGTCCTCGAACCTCGGCCCACTGTCCAGGAGTCTCTGGGCTCCAGTCCCCACCCAGGAGTGGGCCCTGGCTCTACCTGGCCACCCCAGCCCACCTCCAAGCACAAGGGCCCCACGTAGCCAATGCAAGTTTTATAGAAGACAATAAATGTGTATCAATAAACGTTTTATATCGTGCACTGAGCAAGGCTTCCTGCCTTCTGTCCTGTCTGCACCTGCTCCGCAGTGAGGCCCCGTCGGCGACGAGCAGCCCAGATGGTAGCCTTTCCAAGCTATGCCCCACCCACCCAACCTGCTCTGTACTCCGGCATTTGTGCTCCTCTCCTGGATGATCCGTCTACACCTCTAGGGTGCTCCCTCTCCCAGATGGTCCGTCTACACCTCTGGGGTGCTCCCTCTCCCAGATGGTCCGTCTACACCTCTGGAGTGGTCCCTCTCCTGATAGGTCTCTCCTCTGCCTAATGGAGCTTTGGTCAGCCACCCTGTCCTCTTGGCTAAAGCCTATGCCCTTTCTCACACATTCAGGGCTCTCTGGTCCCCCTGGAAACAGTTTTCATGTGCTGCTTCATACAGGTCCTGTCATGGAACACAGCGTGTCCACACAAAGGCTCCCTGGGTACGGCTGCTGCTTCTCCTCCTGCTACCTGTCCAGAATGCCCCTCACTCTCCCACCCTCTCTGAGGCGGGGCTGGGGCTGGCCTCCCTGAACTTGGCACCTCCCCAATGCCCAGCAATAGGCTGGAGCCCCTCCCAAGAGACAGCTCAACTAGGGCCGGGCCAGAGGCTCCCTGACTGCCCCCTGCCCGCCTCCAGCCAGTCCCCGAAGAGGCCCGTCTTGGGCTCCAGGTGTCCAGCCTGGGCCCCCAGCCCCATGGCAGGGAAGCTCTGGGGGAACCTGCTCATTACATAGGCCCAAGGACAAACCAGGGCAGAGGCGCCAGTGGCCCAGGCTGGGGGAAGGCCCCCAGCCGCAGAAAGGGAGAGGGCCGGGAGGGAGCCGGCTAACAGAACCACCTGCCTGCCCACCCAGGCTGTGGTAGGACCTCCAGCCTCTCCTGCTGGCCCAGGTGGCGCCTGGCGTTCCACCTGCAGACCCTGAACTTGCTCTGCCTTACCCTGGTCAACCCAGAGCAAGGGCTGAAGGACCACCCGGGGGTGGGCTGACCCCCAAACGCATTTCTTAGCGACCAATCCCCAGGTGGTGGACTCGCTCCTCCTGGCCTCTCCAGGCCTCTGCCCCTGTGCTCACCATTCCAACAGGCCCAGCGGCTCCTCCATCAAGGTCCCTGCTCTGCAGAGAGAGAACCCCGAGTATCTGGAGGCAGAAGAGCTTCAGATAGCGGAGGCCGGGGCGCCGGCCTCTCCCACTCCCAGCATGGGGTGCACCCTCCCCATCCTCGCACATTCCCCCCACCTCCTGACCCATCCCCCGACCCCCGCAGGCCAGTGCAAGAATCCCAGAAAAGCAGAGACACTTCTGACACTTCTGGGGACTCCAAGAAGCCAAGTCAGGTCCTGAGGACACATACGAGGGGCGGGATCCATTCAATGGGAAAGCGTCTACCAGCAGGCCTCCACTGGCAAGAAATGCCTCCTAGTCCTGAAGACGGACAAGGGGGCCTCTGAGGAGCCACTGTCTTGGGACCCAGTGAATCCGAGTCCCTGGGGGTTCACCTCTTCCTCAGGAGCTCCCACCCTAGGCCTCTGGCCCTGAGTCTAGTGCCAGAAGCTACCCCCCGCCACCCCTCTGGGAGCATGACCTGACCTCCTTGCCTGGGCCCAGCCGCAGCAGCTCAGAACCCCAGCCCAGTGGGCGGGAGGGCAGCCTCACTCACTGCAGGACCTGGAGGTCGGGGAGGGGCTGGAGCCCCACAAGAATACACATCTGGCTGTGCTTAGTGGGCAGTGAGCTGGGAGGGTGGGGGGTGAACCCCAGGATCGGCCCTGCCCAGCCTCTGGACCCTCCTCAGGTGCGGATCCCTACAATCTTCCCTGGGAGTAAGGCTCCTCCTCCCCCATCCAGTCCCCAGCCACATGGGGACTGCCAGCACATCCTGTCCACACCCCGGACGACCTCCCATCTGTGCTCTTGGAGAGGCAGGAGCAGAAGAGAAGGGCTCACTCCTCCTCCCACCTTGGGTATGGAGTTACAAAAGGGCCCAGGGAGCTGGCTGCAGGGGTGGGGCACAGAAGCCTCTGCGGTCCCCCACCAAAGGCAGCTCAGCTGGGACCACCCCCAGCCCCCTTCTTTCTGGTGTCTGGGAAAGTCAGGAAGCAGAGGGACCCGAGCATCACATATCTCCACCACGGAACTCTTTGGAGCAAGGGGTCTAACCGCCCTCCCCTGACCACTGCACAGGAGTCGAATTCAGGGGGTGCATATCGCCATCCCTACTAAGGAACGCGTAGGTGGCCCCACAAGGAACAAACGCAGGTCTCCCTGCCACTCGTTGTTACTAAGCACAACTTGCTACCACCACCAGATATGTGGGGCGAGGACCGCAGAGCCGCCAGGGTTGGGCTGTGGGGCCCTGCTTTCGGAGCCCCCCGCCACGGCTGTCTGGACACACACACTCCTGGATGATGCCCGTGAGAAACAGGGTCAAATGTGCAAAGTCAAGAGCAAGCCTCAGGGATACAGGGTACTGCCACCCGGAAGCCGTGGGCTTGGGTTTTCTCACAGATCCAGCACAGGCCTCTGGAGCAGGGGCAAAGTGTCCCTTGTAAGAGGGAACAGGATGGCCAGGAAGGAGGGACAAGGAAAGAACCAATCCCAGCCTGGCGAGCAGGGCACAGATTGCCATTCGCAGGGGACCTGCTGTGTGCAGTGGGCCCTGGGCTAAAACCTCCACCAGCTCATTTAATCTGCACAGCTGGGCTCCCAGGGACAGGCTGCTCGCACCCAGGGTGGAGCCCCGGTCACAGTCCCACGGCTCTGGTGGCCACGTGCTTGCCCTGGAACCCAGGCCGCTGGCCTCTGTGTTCCCACCAGCAAAGCACCGGCAGTAGGGGCCCCAGGGATGCCGCATGGACTAGACAGGACAGGCCCATCACAATCCAGAACCCGGCCTTGTTGGAGCCCACAGTCCAGAGCCTGAGACCAAAGGAGGGCGCAACCCAGGCCTGGGCAGCTGGCAGATGAAGCGGACAGGCAGCGGGCCGGGGACTCGTGCTCAGCACACAGCACAACACACAGCCTGAGAGCTGAAGCCTCTTTGCGTCTTCCTGGCCTGTCTCCGTAAGACCAAACAGAACGCCTCTCCGGCATCGGCCTGGCTGGCTCCCACCCCCTGCCGGCTGTGCTTGTGAGATAACCGAGTTTTCTCTTTGGGGCCAGAATTCTGAAGCCTGAGATCCTTTCACACATGCACTTCTTGGTCTAGAATCCTCTGCCAAGACACCCCGTCTTTTCCAGGAGCCGCGGGATCCATCTAGAAGGTGGGATGAAGGGATGGGTCCATTAACAGTCACCTCTCCCGGGATGGGAAGAAACCCAGCCCAAGGAAATGTGCTTTTAAACACATGCGTGACCAGACCAGGGAGCTACCAAAACACGTCGCAGAGATCACCCCGTCCACCGGGTCCATTCAGGGCAACTCGGAATGCGAGCACGGAAGTCGTGTATCTGAGGCCACTGGGAGTTGGAGACAACACGGCTCCGTTCACAGAACGAAAGTTCATGGAAAAGTCCGCTGCAGTGCGTCAGAATGCCAGCGCCAAGTTTCCTGGCAATTCGGGAGAAGGCTCACCTACTCGGGCAGATTTTGTTAAAAAAAAAAAAAAAAAAAAAAATTCTTGCGGTTGACGTTAGGCACAATAAAATGAACTGTTTTAACGCACAGTCAATGATCTCCGACACACGTATGTACACTCGCGACCTCAGCAAATCGCTGCGTGGAATGTCTGTGTTCTCCCCCGAAAAACATTTCCATCACCCCACCCCCTCAAGAATATCCTAGCGCCGGAGAGTCCCAGGCCCCCACCCCCACCCCCACCCCGCACACCTGTGGTTTAGGCCACTCTAGGTCACACAGGACAGACTGCTTCCGACCGATTTGCACAGCACGTGATAAGTAACAGAAACAAGTCTGGTCGGCCTCGGGGCGCGGGTGAGGAGGGGGTGGGTGTCTCGGAAGTTTACCGACTGCCCTACCGGGGAGCTCCATCAGCGATTTCCAGCAGGCTCTTCCCTCCCGCCGACCATTCCCAATGCTGCCACCGGAACGTGTACTCGCATTCTGCGCTCCCCGAAGCGCGAAGACACACGATCCGAAGTCCATTCCGCGGGCCGCCTCCCCAGCCCTGGGCCCAGGACCTGGGGGCTGTCCGCTCTCGGGCCGTCCCACCCAGAAACTCGTCCTCCAGGGCCGCGATCCTGCGACAGCGACTGCCGCGGGCAACACTCACCATCCCCGGTGGAACAAGCGCGGATCTTCAGAATCCCACCCGGGAAAGCGGCGAGCGGAAGGCACACGGGGCGGCCCGCCGCACACTCCACATCCGACGGCGGTGCGGCCTGGCTGCGCAGGGCGGGCGCGGCTCAGCCAGTGCGCACCGCAGCCAAGGTCCAAGGCGCTGCCCGTCACCCGCGTCCTGACGCCCGCGGCCTCAGGTGGCAAGTGGGGTCTGCCGGTCCTCGCCGTGTCACCAGCACGACCCAAGCCGGCGCTCCGGTGCGGGCGGTGTTCGCTACACGCCTCCTCCGGGTCCCAGATTCCCCTCGGGTTAGGATCCTGGGCGGCACATGACAGAAGCCGCACTGAAGCGCGCAGGCGCACGCACTCAGGCGCACGCGCACGAACTACTCACGCACGTGCACCAACTCACCCACGCGCACGCACGAACTCATGCACGCGTACAAACGTACCCAGGCACGCGCACGCACGGATCCACACTGGAACAGGATTGGCTCTTGTCGCTTAGAAGTCCGGGTGCGGACGCCGGCCCGGAACAGCTGGATCCGGGCCCCTGATTCCAGGGATTGTGTCCATCACCTGTCATTAGTCGGGAAATGTGAGCCTCTGTACCTGCCAGGCCCAGTTCTAGCCACAGAAGGTACCAGAACGAGACAGTTCCTGCCAGGAAGCCCGTGTCTTCCTGGGTCACCTGTGTCCCCGCCCCTTCTCAGGCTAGGTGTTACCTCCTCGGGGTAAGACGTCCACCACCCCGGCTCAGTAAGCCCAGAGTAAGAGCCTGGGACAGTCCGAGCTGCTCCTCTGACATGGGGATGCTCTGTGTCCACTGGGGACACCCATAAGCACAATGGGGCCTCTGTCCTCCGTCACCTGTCCATGAGTCATGTAGGGCGTTGGTGACACTTCGGCATCGGAGCTCCGTACCTCTCCTCTCTTCACTCACGTGTCTTCCCAAAGCTGAGACCAGAGGTCTCCCACACCGAGCTCTCCTTCACGTCCAGGACCGGGCATGAGGGTGGGCACGACAGCCCCAGGCCCCAGCCACCCGTCAGTCAACGCGTGTGGACCCCAAGCAGCCGCCATGTTCCGCGGGGCATCTGGCACGCCAGGCTACACAGCTGTGAGGTCAGCCTCCATCCGAACCTGGAGGGGGCTCAGTTTTAGAGGACTCATGAATTCCCAGGCAGGAAAGTGGGTTCAGCCAATGTGGGAAAAGGTCACCAACTGAGGTCAAAATGATCTCCTCCCTCTTGCCTCGAGTGCTGTACTCAAGTTGTTGAGAGAGACCGGAGGGGATTCCATGAATTTCAGTGAGGACTCGGATGCTCAGAGGGGTCCCCTAAACCACAAAGCTCCCCAGCTAATAGGTGGACAAACTCAGACTTGAAATGGGGCCCTGGAGTCCAGGTCCAGGCTCCTTCCTTTCCGCCCCTCAGCAAGCAGAGCCCTGGGCAGGTCCATTAGCCAGAGCATCTCTCCATGCAGAGGGCTGTGTGGACATAATGGCCTCTCCCAGCCCACAAGAGCCCCTCTTTCCTGCATAGCGCTATGTTAACTCCAAGATGATAGGGGCTGCTGATGCTCTGAGGCCTCTTTGGCTGTCCCAGATGACCTTCAGGAAGGGAGGCACTGCCGTGATGGCACAGGTAGGGCGTGAACACTCCCGCAGCTCCTCACGGCCCCCAGCCTTATTCTCATTTCCCTGAAAGGCATCCCCCACCCTGGATGGGCAGCCTGAGAGTCCACACCCAGCCAGGTCCATTAATCCCCAGCCAGCTTGTCTGCAGGCCTCCTGGGTGGGGTGGGTGCCTTCCTGTATTTATGCCTCAAGCTCCCCTTCCAGCATCTCAGAGAGCAGAGTGAAGGTACTTGGGGGCATCGCAGGGACAGGACTCCTGTGAGGCCAGGATGGGGAGCAGCCAAGGCGAGCTGGGAGAAGCCCTGCAGAGTTGGGAGCAGGGACTGGGCTGGAGCAGCTCGGGGGCATGGGGCCAGTGGAGTTGCCTCCAGGCATTGGAGTTAGGCACCAGAGCCCGGCCAGGGACTGAGCACCACGTCTGGAGCAGGTAGGAGCCTCACATTTTTAATCTCTGGGTGGAGGAGAGCATGGTGGTGACAGGTGGTACCTAGCAACAACCCGGGGCGAGAGTCCCTGTTCAGCCAGGCATGGCTGGATGGCCCGGGAGGTGCCTCAACTTCCCCGAGCTGGCACCTTCCAGATAAAACGGACGACAGAAGCCTAGCTCACAACCATATTTAAAGTGGTTCAGATCACCTCCAGGGGGCCAGCCACATGGGGAGCCCCCATCAGTGGTGACAGCCAGGCCAGGACAAAGGAGGGACATGCAGGTGTCAGGTGAGCACAACTGAAGAAGACATTCACTTTGTTTTGGGAAAAGCAGCAAGTAATAGGTTTTCATTTCTGTAAAAATGCTATATGGAAATGCACAGAAAAAAAACCCTTCAAGGGTGTGATCCCACCGTTAACACTGGGAGGCAGCATGAGGGCATAGCAAAACCTACGTCCTCTTGACCCTCAGACCTTTTAAATGAGACTGTTTTACTATCTCATCTAGGTGACCTTTTAAACATTTAAAGTACAAGGAGAGATGGACCGTATTAGCTAGAAATGACATTTCCCTAAGGCGTCAGGGGGTAGACAGAAATTCAAACAAGGCTTCTGAAGACAGGAATCCTAAAGCTAACTCCACAGATACCGTCTTCTAAACCGTCACCTTTCACGTGTCATCACTGAGCACTGGCTACATGCAGGCCTGGGCCCAGCGGCAGGGAGGGCGCGGAGGGGCTCTAGTCAGATGCTGGCCTGCCCGAGGGGCTCACAGGCCCAGTGACAACCAGCGTAGCTCAGAGTCCGGGGCGGGGGGGGGGGGGGGGGGGGGAAGAGCCCAGCAGAGGGGAGGCAGCAGGGGAGGAGATTAGGCTCCAGCAGCTAGTCTCAGAAGTGCATTGGTCTTACCAGATCAGACCCACCCTCCCGATCTCGTTTCACCTTGAACACCTCGTACAGGCCCATCTCTGAGAGGAGCACAGCAGCTTGGTGCCTCAACAGATCATTGAGGGGGACACAGTTGGGCCCATAGCTCTCTCCAGCCCCCCACATCCCTCCTCTCTTCTTCCTTCTTTCACTGGAAAGGAGGAACCTTCCTGCGTGGGGTCCCGCAAGCTTGGTGGGTTCCCTGCTTCTCCCATCTCTCCTGGGCAGTGCCCAGCTCCCAGCCACTTGCCCGCAGTACCAACTCTGCCCCCAGGCGCACTCCCCCCGCCCCCCAGCAGCCGCGACCTCGCCTGTGCCCTCGCCTGTCTCCCTCTGCTGAGAGGCTCCCGTTCTCGTCGTCCGCCCCCAGTCCCATTTCTCTACTGTCGCCTCCTCCTTGCCCGCTACAACACACCCCTTCAAAGGGTCACCCACACCCCTGCCTCCACAGCTGCCTCCTCGGCACATTTGGGGGTCTCTGCTGCCGAGAACCGCCCCTTTGGAGGGGTCTAGGGAGCCGCCCCACCTGCAGCACACCTGTCCCTCCATGCGCTCTGCCCCCACTGTCGCTTGGCTACTAAAGCTGCTCTCCCAGCAGCTGTCAGCCCCTCTGGGAGTTCCCACCCTGGAAGCTGCATATTCTTGCTTGTCGATGGTCTCCCCTTCGAGCAGCATCCCCAGGAGGGTCTGTAGCCCAGGACCCAGAATAGCCCTGGCCTGGTCTGCCCTCCATCTCCATCCGCGGGGTATCAGGTGACAGCTGAGAAGCGGCCCAGGTGTGCGGAGGGCCCCTGTCCAGGCTTCTGGGACCCTGACCAGAGCAGAGGGTCGGGGGGCACTACATGCACTCAGAGGTGGGGTGGGGCACTGGACTCGGGGGGGGGGGGGCATCCCGCCCTGCCCGAGTAGCAGGTGCCACCTGCGTCCTCCATCCCTGGGGTGCGGCCCACACACTCCTTACTTAGCGTGGGGCTTCGAGGACACTCCTTTGCTGAGCCTGGCACTGGGCAGGGACCAATCACTAGTGGCTCAGGAGGGCGGTGTGTAAAGGGTTCCGCTGGCTGCGGAGGGGCCAGGGGAGCAGGGTCCCAGCCCCCTGCACAGACAACAATGGGTCCCTCACAGCAGCCCCTCCACCAGGCCTCTCCCTGCCGCCCTCCAACCTCAGCACCTTCCAGCCCGTCCCTGCCTTGTTATGTACCCTTGGGGGACAGGGGATAATCATGTCTATTGTACATTCCCCACCCTGGACCGTGAGTTCTATGAGGACGGGCTTTCTGTGTACTGGCCACTGCTGTACACAGGTCACATGTGTGTGTGCAGACGGCTATGGGCGTGTGTGCATCTGTACTGTGTCTCTGTGTGCATCTGTGCTATCTGCGTGTGCATCTGTGCTCCTGGGTGCGGACACGTGTTCTGCGCATGTCCATATGCTTTCATCTACCCCGTGGTACACAGAGCACCATGTATGTATCCGGCACATAGTAGAAGTCTGGTCAATGTTACTTAAATATCTGTAACCGATGTTTATCTGTGGATCCTGCGGGAGGGACGCCGGACTGACGACAGGGCACCTATGGAGGCTGCGTGGGTCATGGTCCCACCCTCCCACTGTGGATGCAGAGAAAACATAATCCCCCTCCTACCCAGCCCTGGAGAGGTAGAGAGGGAAATTTCTGGGTCCTAGAGCGATGCGAACATCAGATGGGGTATAGGCTCCAGGAGCCGGGGCTCAGGTGGGGTGGGGATGAGGAAGGGCTGGGGGGCTGGGAAGTCCCTTGGAGCTGGAGCAGAGGGGGCTCCACAAGGCCGGAGCCCAGGAGCTCCCTGCTGCTTAGACAAGCAGCTTTCTGCACAGAATGCCCTCAGGAGCCTCCCCCTGCCTGAGACTGTGGGAGAAGGGTGCGTGAGCAGAGTCAGGCACCAATTTCAGGAACTAAAGCCCCAGATTTGCAGCATTCACGGTTACAGAGTCTGAATTTACAAACATCTGCACGATGCCACATCTCCGACCCATGAGCCCCACCACAGACCTGCTCCTGGACCACAGACCTGCTCCTGGACCAGTGACACCCTGTGGATAACAACAGAAGCCAGGGCCAAATCCTGGTAGCAGATCTCAGCATTGAAAGTGAAGAGGACTGGGGCACCTGGGTGGCTCAGTTGGTTAAGTGTCTGCTTTAGTTTCAGGTCATGATCCCAGGGTCCGGAGACTGAGCCCCCATCAGGCTCCCTGCTCAGCGGGGAGTCTGGCTCTCCCTTTCCCACTGCCTCTCTGCCTGGTTTGTGCGCTCTTTCCCTCTCTCTCTCGCTCACTCTCATAAATAAATAAAATAAAAAATAAGATGAAGAAGGCCACGACTTAAAAGGTATACTTGACAGGGACGGCATGATCATCTTGGATTTGTCCCCACTTGACAAAGATTCCAAAAGCCGAAGAGAAGATGACAAAACTTATTTGTGGCAGATAAAAATATTCGTAGTGCTATGAAATATATCTCTAACTAATTTATGGAAATTTAAATTTTACATATTTTCAGTGGTTTTCAACGTTAAAATATTTAGGCATGAACAACAATGAAGACACTACAAACCAAAATGCATGAAACAGCTAAAGAAATACTTAGGAGTCATCTAGAGCCCAAAATGCACTTTAGAAAGAGAAATTTTGACAGTTGCCTAGCAGTTCAACACAAGAAGCTGAAAAACAATCACAAGGTAAATCCAAAGAAAGTAAAAGAAGTAAAAGCATCAATTAAAATTGGAACTGGGGGTGCCTGGGTGGCTCAGTGAGTTAAGTGTCTGCCTTCAGTTCAGGTCATGATCCCAGGGACCTAGGATCGAGTACCACGTTGGGCTCCCAGTTTGCAGGGAGCCTGCTTCTCCCTCTCCTCCCTGTTCATGCTCTCTCACTTTCTTTCAAATAAATAAATAAAATCTTTTTTTAAAACAGAAAACTGGAGGGTGCCTGGGTGGCTCAGTGGGGTGGCTCAGTGGGTTAAAGCCTCTGCCTTCGGCTCAGGTCATGATCCCAGGCTCCTGGGATCGAGCCCCGCATCGGGCTCTCTCTGCTGCGGGGAGCCTGCTTCCTCCTCTCTCTCTGCCTGCCTCTCTCCCTACTTGTGATTTCTTTCTGTCAAATAAATAAAAATCTTTTAAATAAATAAATAAATAAATAAAACAGAAAACTGGAAACAAAGAAACAATAGAGACGTTTAAGAAAAAGTGCTCGTAAAACTGAGCCCCTAGCAAACTGGTGTTTTAAAAAAGAAGTGAGCACACAAATTTAAAATGGAAGATTGAATTAGGGCTTTAAAAATTATAAGGGAATATTGTGTAGATTATTTACAGTATCTACCAATAAATGTGAAACCATAAGCATGAAGAATTACCCAGAAAAATAACATTGCCTACTCTAACTCAAGAAGAGATTCAAAATCTGATTAAACCTATTATATAGTTGCACTTGTAATTTTCTTTTTACAAAGCCATGCCTGTCTCCTAACAATCACATAAAAATAACCTGACCAGATGGTTTTACCTTCTGCCAAATCTTCAAAGAAAGATAATCCTTACATGCTACAAATTGTTCCAGAAGGTAGAGAAAAAAGGCAATCTCTCCAAGTCATTTTATGCAAACAGTATAATCTTACATCTTTGAAATTAAAAACAGACAAGGATAGTACAAGAGGGGAAAATTATAGGCTAATTTCACTTATGAACATGGGGGGACATTTTCTAAATAAAATCAGGATACCTGAGGGGAGAGGGGAGTGACCAGAGCAAATAGAAATGGTCTATCCTAAAAATGTAACAATGAGTAAATACCAGAAAACTTACCACTATAGATCCACCACATAAAGAGACAAAGGGAGGAAAAAAAGAAAGTGATTAAGTAGATGCAGAAAAACAATTGTGATAAATTCCATCATTTATGAGAAAAACTCTCAGACAACCAGGAAGGGAATTTTCTCACCCTGATAAAAGATAATACCACAAACTCAGAGTAACCATCGCATCTGATAGAGAAACTTTAAGTTTTGGAAGAAGATAAGCACACCTGACTGCAACCAGTGCTCAGCAGACTACTAGGTGTTCTGGGCTATGCTATAAGACATGAAAAAGAAATTAGAGGGATAAGGATAACAGCAAAGAAAATCAAACTTGTCGACAGAAAAATGGATAGGTATGGTCCGCTATATTGGGACATTTGCCTAATTAATAAAAACTACAAGAATCCACAGGGTTCCTCCACACCGGCAATGATCAAGAGGAAAATACAACAGAGGCATTTCTGTGTCTAGCCACAGGGAGGAACTGGTACTGGACCAGCCCTCCCACCGTCAACAACCAGAAAACTGGAGAAAACAGAAGACTCAACTGTGTTCAGATACTGGACAAGAGGCATCCCCGGAGTGTGAACTCCAAGAAAAGGGAAATAGAAGAGGTGAGCCCTGTGATCACCCCAGCTTTACACCCGAAGATGCTCTCTGGATAGTGGCAGGAAAGTGGGGGAAACCAGCCAGAGCTCAGTGGTCTCCCTGGAGGATGAAACATCATGAAAAGGGCACAGAACGAGTACTTAGTGGCTGTCAGCACATAACCCCAGAGCTCACACCAAACCATTTACGTATTGTAAACACACATGCGCATAAAAGCAGTGTGTAGGACAGAGAAGCCAGGACAGAGTTTTAAGGGTCCCGTGTGTAAAAGTAACTTGGTAAGTCAACAGGGAAAAGAAAGCCTTTGATAAAAGTCAATACTTCTTCATGATTAAAAAAAAATAATAATAAACTCAAAACGCAAGAGAACATCTTCACTTGACAAAGGGTGTTTAGAACAACTTGGGGTATGTCACAGCGGGGCTGGCAGAGTTGGTGGGATGGGAGCCAGGAAAGCGGGGGACGGGCCAAGCCTCCTGGTTACGTTTCTTATAAACAGAACCCAGGGGAAAGCCCTGAAGCTGGACAGTCGGGGTGTGGGGCCCCAAGAAGTCCCTTGGGGCTCCAGCAACACAGAACCTCAAGTCGGTCCATATTCTTTCCACAGGATGAATGAGACTTTCTGAATTCCTATGTCCAGATGCTCACCCAAAACATCTCCCTGATAAACACACCGGACACCGCTCTCAAGGTGTTGAGCATCCTGGCCACGTTCGTCTGCGTGTGCGGCATGATGGGCAATGGCCTGGTGGTCTGGCTGCTGAGCTGCCCAGGGCAGAGGACCCAGTTCTGCACGTACATCCTCCACCTGGCCGTGGCTGACTTCCTATTCCTCCTCTGCACAGCCGTCACCCTCTATCTCGACCCCACCCTGCTGGCCTATGAGGTGATGGAGAGAGCGAGGTCCTTCACCTACACCACCAGCCTGACCCTCCTGACGGCCATCAGCATGCAGCGCTGCCTGTCTGTCCTCTTCCCCATCTGGTACAAGTGTCACCGGCCCCAGCACCTGTCAGCCGTGGTGTGTGCCCTGCTCTGGGTGCTGTCCCTCCTGATGAACATGCTGGTCTCACTCTTCTGCAGGAAGTTCTGGTTCAGCCCAAGGCAGTGTTACACGGTGGACTCCGTCTTCAGTTTCCTCATCATGGGGATCTTCACCCCAGTGATGACCCTGTCCAGCGTGACCCTCTTCGTGCGGGTGCGGAGGAGCTCACAGCAGTGGGGGCGGCCGCAGCCCACGCGGCTGTACGTGGCCATCCTGGCCTCTGTCACGATGTTCCTCCTCTGCGCCCTGCCTCTGGGCATCAGCTGGTACTTCCTCTATTGGCTGGACCTGCCCCAGAACTGGAAGATTCTTTTCCACCACATGGCATGCCTCTCCTCGGCCCTGAGCAGTAGCGCCAATCCTGTCATCTACTTCGTGGTGGGCAGCCAGGGACGCTGGTGCTTGCGGGAGCCCCCGGGGGCCATACTCCGCAGGGTGCTGAGGGAGGAGCCTGAGGGGGAGGGGAGGGAGACACCCCCCACCAGCACCAACGAGCTGGGGGCCTGAGAGCCTGGGCGCCCCAGGGATCTGCATGCTTTCCCTGCCCAGTGTCTGTCTGGCCTGCTGTTAACAGCCCCAAAGCCTTGCCCCTCGCCCTGTTGGGGTCTCTTTCTTCTAGGCCAAAGCCCCCCATGCCTCGATGTGGTCTGGCTCTCACAATGGGACTCAGCTGGGAAGACAAAATGCAATTTTTCCTGGGTGTCACAGGGCTCTCCTTCGCTGAGGCCTGGCCTGTGGAACCTGACTGTCCTCCCAGGCTCTGTGGGTGGGTAGCCTGCTTCCACTTGAATGGGGAAGCACATTCTCCCAGCCTCCTGCTCCCCTCCGAGGACATCTTTGTGCAGGAGGCAGGGTGTGGTTCCTGTGACTTTGTGGCCTGATGCTGGTCCTTGGGCACGTGCTGGTGGTATCAGCTGACCGCCAGGGGGATGCCCATGGTCTGCCTTCCACCAGGTGTCCTGCTGACCCCTTCCATGAATGCAGTCCTTGGCCAGCCATGTCCACCACTGACCAAACTCACTGGCCGTAAGCCAGGAGACAGCCTCGTCCTCCACCTGGCCCAGGACAGCGCTTGACCCCTGGCCTTTGCCTTCAGGTCGCTGTGCAGCACCACACCTGGCAACCACGGCAGGTCTGTTTGCTTTGCTCCGGGAGGCTGCCCTGGAACCAGGAGAGCCCCTGCTGACCCCCTGGAGATGCACAACGGATCTTGATGGGACTGTGCCCGGGAGGCAGGGGCAAAAAAACTGGATAGGGGTCTTCCCAGAGTTGCTACTGGTCCTAAAAATGTGTAGGATGTTAGTGACATTACAAGAATGGGTTGTGACGGGTGCTGGGTGGCTCAGTCAGCTAAGCGTCTGCTTTCAGCTCCGGTCATAATCCCAGGGTCCTGGGATCGAGCCCCATGTCAGGCTCCCTGCTCAGCGGGGAGTCTCCTCCTCCCTCTGCCTCGGCCCTTCCTCCCTGTCCATTGCTCACGCTCTCTTTCTTGCTCTCTCTCAATTAAATAAATAAAATCTTTTGAAAAATAGAATGGGTTGTAAAGCTAAGTAGTATCTTTAAACTACTTACAAGACAATTTTTGATCAACCATGCTAAAAAAAAAGATTGTATTAATCCTCAGTTCCCTTTATGGAAGATATTCAAAACTGTTACATATGAAAAAAATGTCAAAGAGTGCGCAGCAAGAATGGTAGAAAAAATATTGCAGATGTTTTCCTGTATTTTGCATTATTTGTGGTATTTGTCACTTCTAAAAATCTACAGTTTGCTATGATTTCTTGTCCTGTTCTAAATAAATGGTCATTGTTGCATCTAACTTTGTATTTATGATTTTGTTTTCTTTTTCTTAAGGAGCATCCCCCTCTTGTTGATAAGCTTTGGTCCCCACAAAATCTGTACTTGGATGGAGGACAGAGGAATTACCAAACTCCAGGATGGTCAGCAGGACTCAAAGGGGTGACCACTGAGCTACTGTCATAGACATCCATGAGTAGGAGGATCTCCAGGACCACAGGGCAGGGGGCTGCTTCCAATGGCCCCACTCATGTGAACAGAATGACAACTCAAAACTCTAATGTCTTGTTTTGCGGTTAGGACTGAAATTCAGGGACTCTCTGTGACACTGTGGAAAGAAATCTGTGAGTACTGAGTGTGTCTTCAGTACACAACCCACACCCTCCACAGCTGGGGCCAGCCACTAGTCTCCAGCTTGTTCATGAATCTGTGATTTTTTTTTTTCTCCCTTCTATAGTGCAAACTCCCTGTGAGGAGGGCCTGGCTATTTTCAGCCTCATCCAAGGCTAATGGCAAAGACTGACATCCGTCAAAAAAGAACTTGACTTTCAAAAAAAAAAAAAGAACTTGACTTTCAAAATGAAAAAACAAGTCCGTGCATGAGCTGCCACTTTGCTTTATCTATTTGGAGACTATGTTATTAGGAGCAAACAAATTTAGGAATGTTATATCATCCTGGGGAGGTGGAGCTTTGGTGACAAATTATGAAGTTACTGTCATTGATCCTAGTCACGATACGCCTTACGATCTACCTCGTCTGATACTAACTTGGCCGCACCAGCTTTCTTCTGGATGGCACCGGCGTCTCCTTGCCTTCTCTGCCTTTTAACCTTTGGTATTCTTAACTGTTAGATCTATCACTTTTAAACAGTTGAGAATTGGGTTGAGCTGCACCTTTGGACATTAAACCCAACACGACAGGGAGCAGGCCTATGGTCCTCCATCCCTCCCAGCTGTCAGTCCCGAAGAGCTGTACAGGTGAGCAGGTAGAAAAGCTCACTCCTCACTAAGCTGTTTTAGTGACTGAGGAAAAGGATGGGCTCTGGCTTTAATCCCAACTCCGTCACCACTGTCCTGGGTGCCCTTGGGCCCACCTTGCACCCTCTCTGAGCTGTCTTCTCATCTGCATATAGGGACAATCACCTCCCTCCTCTACCAATCTCCTATATGGAAAGGACACACAGGTCCCGCATCCATCCACCACTGGGCACTGAGAAGCACTATCCCAAAGGTGGAACCCTGGGACTTTCCAGCCAGGGGCCTGTGGTGGGTTAGAGATATATGGGCACAGCCCAGCCCTGTCTGAGCTATCCCAGGCCACTCTATCCTGTCCCAGGGCCACCAGGGTCCATTAAAAGATGGCAGCGCAAGGGGACTTGCAGGCTCCCAAAGGATGGACTCTCCTTTCCAATAAGGCCGTGATTTATGTGGCTCTTGCATCTCCTGTGTTGCACTTTCTGTGGCTGGGCTGTGCTCCGTCCTGCACTGGGGCATCCCGCTTCAAACCTGGAAAGCCCAGGACCCACTCAGGGGGAGTAAACAGAGGGCAGTCAGGCTGGCCAGGGGCACTAGGATGTCAAGAGAAGTCAAGATAACAGGGACAGCCGGCTTGACAGTACACAACCTCCCTTCCAGTCCACTCTGCTGCCAAGGTCCCCTCCCCCCAGAGGCTCCTCTCACCTCCCTTTTGTCAAAGGGAACATTTGCCTTTCCAGACCTGGCTCCCTATGGTCTGTCTGGGGCAGAGCCAGAAGCATGCAGAAGCGGGAAATGCAGAGAGAAAAAAGAGAAATGGGCTGTCTCCTCCCTAAGCCTTCCTCCTTCCCCAGACTCCTCTCCCTTCTCAAGCACCAATGAGGGAGTGGGGAGGAGGGGAGAAAGGGCCACTTAAGAGCCCCGAGACCCTGCAGTAGATGTACAGAAGCATCTCCGGCCCCGCGAGAGAGGCACACAGGGCGCCGTGGCACAGCGACCGCCCCGCAGAGTGCTCAGCCCTCCGAGAGTGACCTGAAGCTGCCTGTCCTCTGGCCAGGCTGTTCATCCTGCACAAACAGAACCTGACCACCAGGACAGGGATGTGAATCAGGACCCTGGGCACGCCCGCCCCTGCCATAGGGCACAGCCCTGGCCCCACCCAGACAAGCCCCATCCCAAGCCCAGCACCCGCTCCAGCAGGCCCCTCCATTTAAGCTACGCCTCAGGCTCCACACACCCCCACACACTCCTGCTCTGTCCACTGCAGGCCCCTCCCAGGCCGCGCCCCAGCCCCACCCCCAGTCCCGCTTTGCCTAGCAAGCGCCACAAGAACAGCCCGGCCAAGCTCCCGCTGGGCCCCGCCCGCCACCCTCAGCCTCCTAAAAAGGATTTCCCCGGCAAGGGCTGGAGTGTCTTGCCCGGCTGAAGAGGAGCAGGCCTGCCTGGAAAAGGGGCAAGTACCAGGGAGCCCTGGAAGCCGCAGAGCCCCCTGCGAGAGCCGCTGCCGTGCACACGGCCTCCCGCAGCCGCAGCCCCGCCCTGGAGTCCCTGCCCCCTGAGCTTGGATCCCAGGGGCGCCTGAGACAGCCTCCCCTTACCCAGCCTGGTCAGGGGAGGCCATGTGCTAAGTAAAGGCCCCCCTGCGTGACGACCACAGCCACCCCCTTCTCCGTCCCCAGCTGCGACACTGACCCAGGACTTCCCATTCCAGGGGATTTCTCGTAGGGACAGAATTCACTGAATCAACCCTACAGGTTTACAGCGAAGATGAAATGAGATAAAGCAGGGGAAGGACCGCATAAGGCCAGGCACATAATACGGACTCAACATGTGATTATGAACCAGTCCTGACTTGCCGGCGGGCAGCCCTCACGATGGGCCAGGCGCCGTTCTTGACACTATACAGCCATGAACTGTACAGTCCCCCGCAGCACTGGGAGGTGCTTCTACCAGCACCTCCTTTTACAGCTGAGGCAGCTTAGGTGGGAAAGGGCTGAGTGGCTTGCCGGAGAACCAGGAGGCAGCAGAAGGAGGCTCTGAGGCCAGGTATTCAGCTCTAGAGTCCCTGAGCTCAGCCCACGTGCTATCCTGCCTCTGGAGGGTGGGCACCAGCGCGGGAGAGTGCATCGCCGCATTTCACTCTTCAGCCTGAATTCACATTCGTAAACACCAAGCAAATGACAAATGCTTAGTATTCTCCAAAGTAAAACAAACCAACCTCAGGTTTGTATCCGGCGACAAGACCAAGAACAGGAATATGGTGCCGTTCTTAAAAGGAGACAAAAGTGAAAGCACACCCTGGTCAGAGCAGAGACCCCCCCCCCCAGCTCCCTGGGCAGAAGGTGGGAGGGTCCTCACCGGGTGTGTTAGGATTCCTATGGCTGATGCGACAAAGGACCACAAGCTGAGTGGCTTCAAACAACACAAATTTATAATCTTACGGTTTAGGAGGTCTGAAATCTAAAATGGATCAGCAGGGCTGAGTTCCTCCTGGGTGCCGTAGAAGGGCACCTGTTTCCTTGCCTTTCCCAGGTTCTGGAGGCCATCACCCTCCTCCATCATCAAAGCCAGTCAGCCACCACCTTCACATCACTCTCTCTGCTACACCCCATCACCTTCCTCTCACAGGCCTGCCTCCCTCTTTTAAGGATTTATTAAGTCCGCCCAGACAATCCAGAATCACCTCCCCATCTCAAGATGCTCAATTATATCTGCAAAGTCCCTTCACCATTAAG